ACATGGCTCAATTCAATTTCACAAAGTACTTTTAGAAAGATTTTGTTGTTGTTGTTGTTGTTGTTGTCCTTTAAATGTGCCTCTTTGGAACTTCCAAGCATTATTCCTAGCTTTGCCCTCTGGATTCTAGGAAAACAAGGCTAATTCTTCTTCCACGTTTGATAACAGCTGCAAGGTTGCTCCTCTGAATGTTCTCTTTTCTAAGCTAAAATTTCTCATTACCTTCAATAAGTCCTCATGTGGCTTAATTCACAATGGGATTGTGTGAATTCAACTGAATTGTGTGTTGCTTATCAATGCCCTTCCTGAAATATGAACTACAGCACTCAATACAAAAGTTCAAAAAGGGTTTAATCAGAGCAGAATATGATAGTATTAGTACTTCTTCAGTCATAGGAACATGGGTTCATAGATGTTTTAGCCAACAGATATGTTAGAGACCATTTGCTCTAATACCCTACCACTACCTCCATTCCCTTCCTGGCCTCTAGTGGACTCCAATCTCCCCAGAATTGCTGGCTTCAAAATTCACAAATCTCTATTCACCCTTAGTTGGCTTGATAAGTCTTAGGTCTCCTCAAATAATAAAAACATAATAAAATAGGACTTCCCAACAATGTAGGAGGGAAAACAATTCCATCACCCCATCACAATGCCAAATGCTTAATTAATACTTATCATTTACCAAAAGCCAATGCAAATACAAAACCCACAAGAAGAAAAGTAACCATGGATCATGACCATTCTATAAGCAATGTCAGACTCTATGGCCTTTTTCTTCCCTGTCCACTCTATACCAGTCCAGTCGTCCATTAGTGCATGGAGTGCTTGAGACAAGATGGGCATCTAAACCTCAGCCTGAGGTGCTTACTAGTTGTGTGACTCAGCAAAAGTCACTTTTGTGCCTTGAGTTTCCTGAACTAAACTGATGATCAGGAGTAGCACCTACTTCCTAAGGTTGCTCTGAGAATAAAGTGATATAATATTTGTAAAGAGCTTCCTGGTATATTCTTTTTTTTAATTAATAAATTTATTTATTTTTAGTTTTCAACATTTACTTCCACAAAATTTTGAGTTCCAAATTTTCACCCCATATTGCCCCTCCCCCCACCCCAAGATGACATGCATTCTGAATACCCCTTCCCCTAGTCTGCTTTCCCTGCTATCTCTCCCCTACTTCCCCTTCTATTTTCCTGTAGGGCAGTATAGATTTCTGTACCCCATTTCCTATATTTCTTATTTTTCAGTTGCATGTGAAAACATTTTTTTTTAAACATGTGTGTTTAAAACTTTGGGTTCCAAATTTTCTCCCTTCCTCTCTTCCCACCCACCCTCATTGAAAAGGCAAGCAACTCAATATAGGTTATACATGTGCAGTTATGCAAAACACTTCCATAGTAGACATGCGGTGAAAAATGAACTCTATTTCCCTTAATCCTATCCTGCCCCCCCATTTATTCTATTATTTCTTTCTATCCTGTCCCTCCTCAGAAGTATTTGCTTCTGATTACTCCCTTTCCCAATCTGCCCTCCTCTCTATCATCCCCCTACTCTCTTGTCCCCTTCCCCTCCTATTTTCCTGTAGGGTAAGACAGATTTCCATACCCAATTGAGTGTGTATGTTATTCCCTTCTTAAGTTAAATCCTATGAGAATAAGATTCACTCATTCCCTCTCATCTTCCCCCGTTTCCCCTCCACTGTAAGAGCCTTTCTTTTTCTGTTTTTCTTGTAAGATAATTTACCCCATTCTGCTTTTCCCTTTCTCCTTCTCCTAGTATAATCCCCTCTCACCCCTTAATTTTATTCTCCAGATATGACCCCTTCATCTTCAACTCACCCTGTGCCCCCTATCTATCTATCTATCTATCTATCTATCTATCTATACACATACATACATATAATTTTTTCCCTCCAACTACCCTAATACTGACAAAGGTCTCATGAGTTACAAATACCATCTTTCCATGCAGGAATGTAAACAGTCCAACCTTAATAAGTCTCTTATGATTTCTATTTCCTGTTTACCTCTTCATGTTACACTTGTGTCTTGTATTAGAAAGTCAAATTTTCTATTCAGCTCTGATCTTTTCATTAAGAATGCTTGAAAGTCCTCTATTTCACTGAATGACCATTTTTCCCCCTGCAGGATTATACTCAGTTTTGCTGGGTAGGTGATTCTTGGTTGTAATCCTATCTCCTTTGCTCTCTGGAATATTATATTCCATGCCCTGCAGTCCCTTAATGTAGAAGCAACTAAATCTTGTGTTATCCTGATTGTGTTTCCACAATACTTGAATTGTTTCTTTCTGACTGCTTGTAATATTTTCTCCTTGACCTGGGAACTCTGGAATTTGACTACAATATTCCTAGGAGTTTTCCTTTGGGGATCTCTTTGAGGAAGAGATCAGTTGATTCTTTCAATTTCTATTTTGCCCTCTGATTCTAAAATATCAGGGCAGTTTTCCTGTATAATTTCTTGAAAGATGATGTCTAGGCTCTTTTTTTGATCATGACTTTCAGATAGTCCAATATTTTTTTTTAATTCTCTCTCCTGGATCTATTTTCCAGGTCAGTTGTTTTTCCAATGAGATATTTCACATTGTTTTCTAATTTTTCATTCTTTTGGATTTGTTTTACAGTGTCTTGATTTCTCATAAAGTCACTAGCTTCCAATTGCTCTATGCTAATTTTTAAGGAAATATTTTCTTCAGTAATCTTTTGTACTTCCTTTTCCATTTGTCCAATTTTGCTCTTTAGGGCATTCTTCTCTTCATTGGCTTTTTGGACTTCTTTTGCCATTTGGGTTAGGCTATTTTTTAAGGCATTATTCTCTTCAATATTTTTTTTGGGTCTCCTTTAGCAAGCTGTTAATTGGCTTTGCATAATTTTCTTGCATCACTCTCATTTCTCTTCCCAGTTTTTCCTCTACTTCTCTTACTTGCTTCTCAAAATCCCTTTTGAGCTCTTCCAAGGCCTGGGACTGATTCATATTTTTCTTGGAAGTTTTGGATGTAGGAGCTTTGACTTTTTTTTTCTTCTGGTTGTATGTTTTGATCTTCTTTTTCACCAAAGTAAGATAATATAGTCTGACTCTTTTTGTGCGGCTTGCTTATGATCCCAACCAAATACTTGAGTTTTAAACTCTTTGTTAAGGTAAGAGGCTGTTTCTAATGTGGAGAATGTACTGTCCCAAGCTTTGGGGGTTTGTACAGCTGTTTTCAGAGATACTTCTAGGGGCCTGAAAATTTTCAGTTCTTCCAAGGTGCTATGATAAGGGGTGAGGTGTTTCCTCTCCACCACCACAAGCTCCACCATGCCAGCACTCCTCCTTTCCCCAGGACTGGCCCTCAGAACTGTGACCCAGATCTAAGTATGGGCAAAGCAAGAGATTCCTGCCTCAGCACTGGCAAAGAGATCCTTGCAATCCCCCTCTGATCTGCCACTCGATTCCCCCTCAGTCTGTGGGCCGGAAGCTCAGGAGGCAGCCACTGCTCTAGGGGCAGCTGAAACCTAACCTCTTCTCTCACCACAGTCACAGACTTTTCCAACTGACCTTCTAAGTTGTCTTTGGCATTCATGGGTTGAGAAGTCTGGAAACCACCACAGCTGCCCATGATTCAGTCCTCTGAGGCCTGCTCCAGGGTCGCTGTGGTCTGTGCGCCCACGCTGAAATGCACTCCTCTCCCAGCCTAGCGCGATATACCTTTCTGATCAGCCATCCAGATTGTCTTGGGCTGGAAATTTGTTTTACTCTGTTTTTTTGTGGGTTCTGCTGCTTTAGAATTTGTTTAGAGACATTTCTTTTAGGTATTTGGAGGGGTTTGAAGGAGAGCTCAAGCAAGTCACTGCTTTCCCTCTGCCATCTTGGTTCTGCCCCCCCTGGTATCTTCTTATTCAGTCATTTTTCATTCTTGCTGACTCTCCATGACCCCATTTGGAATTTGTTTGGCAAAGATATTGGAGTGGTTTTCCATTTCCTTCTCCAACTCATTTGACAGATAAGGAAACTGAGGCACACAGGGTAGTGACTTACCTTGAGTCAGAAAGCTAGCTAGTAAGTGTCTGAGTTCAGAGCTGAAATCAGCAAGGTGAGACTTCCTGACTCCAGGCTTAGCACTCTATCCATTATGCCACTTAGTTGCCCTGGCACATAATAGGTGCTTAATAAATGTTTATTGAATTTTAAGGAATTAAAGCCCTTAGTACAGTGACTGGCACATAGTAGGCACTTAATAAATGCTTTGGTCTTTTCTAAGTTAATCATAAATTATCATAACATAACATTAATCATACTTTTCCCTTCTCCTCTGCCCTCACCAATATTTTTATTGAATAACTGCTAGTATTTCTGCATGGAACTTTAAAGAGATAACCTCATTGGAGTCTCATAATAATTTTGTGAGGAATAAACAGTATTATTACTATATTCATCTTACTAAGCTCAGAAAGATTAATTGATTTGTCCAGGGTCACAAAGCTGGTGAGTATCTAAAACAGGTTCAAACCCAGATCTTTCATCATTACACCAAACCCAGAGATCTAAAACATTAAGAGATGGGGACTGGACCTATGATTTCATAGGTATAGGGAATTTCTAGGTGAAGTGATATCTTCTATCAATTTTTAAATTTATAATCTTAGCAATTTGCCTAGACCTACAAGAAGGTAGAAGTTTTGCTTGAGGTCACACAGTCAGTAGGTGTAAGAGAGAGAGAGAGAGTTTAAATTCATGGCTCCCTGGATTCAAGAGCAGCTCTAAGTCCATGATTCCATGTTGTCTCTCCTAAGCATGTAAAGGAAGAAACCAGGAAGCATCTCATGAAATTACCCATAAGCCCCAAAACAGAAAGTTTGATAATTGAAAATGTCTGTGCTCCAATTCATCTTCCACACCTGAGCAATCTAAAATGTCAGGCTCCTGCCAATGCCTCTTATGGAGGCACCAGACACAACCCTGTCATCAATGAAGAGGAGGAATCAATTCCGCATCTGTGCTTACCTGTCTCAGACAACAATTTTGTAGCTTCTAGCACCTTTTCAGTATAAACTCCAGCTTCATAGTTCTCCATCTCTGCATTGATGATGTGGATGACTCGGGCTGCCCGGCCACGAATCGCACCTGCTGTCCGGTCCAAAGTATCAACATCCCCTTCTTGGAGTGCAATCACACACTTATTCACATCTTCCAGAATGTGATTTTCTGTGAATAGGATACACATGCATTATTAAGTTTCATCTTCATTATAACTCCCTATTAACCAATCAGGCATCTATTGAGCCCTCTCCTAAGCTCCCAGCCTCTCTTTTGCCCAGTTTTACCCCATCTATTACAAACACAATAGTCTCTAAGTCAACAGTTAAGGATAAATTTCCATCTGTTTTCCCCGGCTTTTGAATGGAAAAGGCTAGGACTTTGTGCACTCTAAATGCGGTTATCAATGAATAGTAGTTAGCTGGCATGGAGTGAATTTGATCAAGCTTAAATGACTCCCATGACCATAGCCAGAGTGCATCAGGGGAATTTTTATCTAGTTTTAAATGAGGGAGAGAGAGAGAGAGACAGAGAGAGAGAGACAGAGAGACAGAGAGACAGAGAGAGACAGAGAGAGAGACAGAGACACAGAGACAGAGAGAGACAGAGACAGAGAGACAGAGACAGAGAGAGACAGAGACAGAGAGAGAGAGAGAATTAGCAACATGAACCAATATTCTTCAACTAGATATAGACGGCAGGCTATCAATACAGACCCTTGTCAAAAGGTTTTCACTTGAGGAAAATGCATGATTTTCTCATATTTTTATACAATCAAAGGCCTTAATATGGTCAAAATTTTCAACCTGGCGTTTTAGACTCTCCATGACATGACCTTCCTGTCCAGCCTCAATTCATAATTTTCCCCTGTGTTGGTCCACCATTCACTTTGTGGTGGATTACCATTCCATGATGTGCCCAAGCTATCTATGTTCACTTCACTCTAAGCTCCATTCCTGACTCCCTAGATTTGTCTACCTTATCCCTAGGAGGTTTGTCCTCATTCAAGTACCCTTATTCCCTTTTACTTCTCCCTTTATGTGACAGAGATTTTCCCTATAAGAATGGAGGGTCTTTCTATTTTGCATGTACTCTATTCGTAGTGCTTAGCACAGTGCCTGGCACATACTAAGTGCTTAATAATTTAGCTATTATATCTATCCATCTATCTATCTATCTATCTATCTATCTATCTATCTATCATCTACCTATCTATCTCATTGTTCATCTGTCTCTCTATCCTGAAGATCTGAGTTCAAATTTAGCCTCAGTGATTTAATAGCTGTGTGACTCCTGGAAAGTCATTAAACTTCTGTCTGCTTCAGTTTGCCCATTTTTAAAATGGAGACAAAAATAGTGTTTGCTTCCGCATGTTGTTGTAAGAATAAAGTAAGATCATATGTGTAAACATTTTGTCAACTGAAAAATTACTATATAATTGTAAAATTCTATATAAATGCTAGCTATTATTATTAAAGAGAGAAACTGAAATCAAGGAGAACAATTAAGAAATTAGTGTAGTACTTCAGACACAGGATAGTGACTATGTAAGCAGCAAGAAGGAGACAGATACATGAGATGGTACAGAATTAACACTGAAAAGCTTCTTCAATTAACTGGATGGTGGAAATGAAAAAGTATAGAGTTGGGGATAACTCCAAGGTTACAAAGCTCTTTGAGCAGGAAGGTTGAGTGGGGGAATAGAATATGAGATGTGAAATAATATGCATAAATAAATTAATTGAATTGGTTAAACAGAAGCATACTGGCTTAACTGCTATTGAATGGAATGAAGAGATTTTTTAGATTTCTGGTACCTGCAATTTTTTGAGTTAAACCCCAAAATGAAAATATCTATGCCAAGTTGTTCATTTTAAAATACTATTAAAAGTTATAGTTTATGCCCAATGGGAAACATTTAAATGTTTCTAACATAGCTATTTCGCTTTTTTATGAGTGCAGTCCACATCTGAAAATTGGTTTTTGCTTCTGTGATATTAATAGTCAACATCACCTGGCCCCAATCCTGTTGCATTTCATGCAGAGGAATTAAAAATTCAGGTTCTAGCACAATACAATGACTGCAGTCCATCCTTTAGAAAATTTGGACCCAGTGCTTTGTAAAAAGAGATTTTCCCTCTAGGCTAGAAATTCCCCTAATAAGAAACACACACACACACACACACACACACACACACACACACACACACACACAC